TATGTGCCGTCGAGTCAAACCCGACTCATAGCGACCCCTCCTTGGGTTTCCGAGGCAGTATCACTACGGAAGTAGGATTGCCCAACCTTCCTTCCGAGGGGTGGCTGGTGGGTTTGAACCGCCAGCCGTCTGGTTAGCAGGCAAGTGTCTTAGCCACTATGCTACCAGAGCTCCCGAACAGATAGGTATAGAGAAACGTAGGGAGCAAGTATGGATTACTGTTAGACAATTTTGATTATAAATCAAAGAATAATGGCAGTTACTTAAGATAATAGTGAAGACTAAGGAAAGCTTTTTACATGCTGGAGGCTTGAGCAGGTTTGAGACTGAGGAGCTTGCCTGGAGGAAAAGATTGAAGATTCAGAAGAGAAGGACATGGGTGGTATCTGCTGAGAGAGAGGTTTGAGTGAGAAGGTTGGGGAGAAATGGCCCAGGATACAAACAGTCTCTGTGGGGAGGAAGGTAGGTTGCTGGCCAGACAACTAAACATGTTATTAAGTATCACTGGACTCAGATCACAAACTTTGTGTTGGTCAGCAATTACATGTATTTTTTTCTAGTAGCTTGGTAATTTAGGTAGAGGAGTCAGGGAAAGAAGATGGGTCTGTTTTGGTAGTTCTGTAGAAAGTTGAATTGTGGCTTCAACATAGTGGATCACTGTCAAATCTACGTCGCGAATTCTGTAAATCCTCCGGGTCACAGATAATGTGGAATGGGTATAATCTAGTCACAGGAAGGAACGAACTGGAATAACAGCTGTTGGGCAAAATAAGCCCAGTTTATATAACTATCTTGGAAAACAATTAACTTTATTCTGATTTTAATTTACAGGTAGCCTTTAAATATTGCCAGAAATATGGAAGTGACAAAGTACGAGTGATAACACTGGTGAAGAATCGTGGGAAAGGTGGAGCTATTAGGATGGTAATATATATTTTCAACATTTTTATCTAAAATATAAAGGCAGTTTGAATAACCTATTTTGCAGACTGTAATAACATGTATATCCTATGGTTAGCTAGTTAACTACCAGCATTTCAAGTTATTAGAAACACATTTAATAATAATTTTATATATGTTGTTGTTATTATGTGCCGTCAAGTCAGACCCGACTCATAGCGACCCCTCCTTGGGTTTCTGAGGCAGTATCACTACAGAAGTAGATTGCCCCATTTTCCTTCCAAGCAGTGGCCAATGGGTTTGAACCGCCAGCCTTCTGGTTAGCAGTCAAGTGCCTTAGGCACTACGCTACCAGAGCTCCTAATTTTATATATATAAAGATGGGGCAATCATACTGCCTTGGAAACCCAAGGAGGGGTCGCTATGAGTCAGGTCTGACTTGATGGCACATAACAACAACATATATGTATATATTTATTTGTATATGTATGTATGTATATCTTAGTTGTGCAAGTATCATGCTGTGTCTATAATGTACTAAATTATTCAGTAAAATATATTTGTTTATCTTAATCAAATGTTTAAAATGTTACCTTCTACCTCTGTATCTTTGATTTTCAGACATCAAGTGATAGGATCATGTGGGTTTTTTTTTTTTTTTTTGCAGTTTACAAAATACTTTTGTTTATTAGGTTTTTCCAATGTGAAGGCATTCTGCTAAGCATGGTATTATAAACTAAGATGAAACTGACATGGGTCAGCCCTGATGAAATTCACAGTCTAATGGAAAAGATAAGCATGGGCATAAGTAAGGAAGAAAGTGATTGTACTTAGGAGAAAAGTACAGATAAAGTGCTAAAAATTCCAAGAAAGAGGTTCTTTTTAGGTAAGGTATATCCATGTAGGAGGCAAGATTTGCTGAATGTTAAAGAAAACCCAAATAAGCTTTACATGACTTAGAGATGTATTTTTTTCCCCTATGAAGCACAATTCAGAGGTAGGCAGGCTAGGGCTTGTTCAGCAACTTTAAGGGATCAGCAAAGCCTAGGTTCCAGACTTTGCACTCCCTCTTTCTCATGCACACAACGTGATTTCTGCAGCACTACCTCCACAATCCAGACTGGATGGGGAAGGGTAGAGGGCAAAAGATGCATAGCTGGTGTGCTCTCTTTTAAGAAGCTTCCCCAGAAGTTCCAACCACTAACTTACTTTTATCTCATTGGTCACAACACTGTCACGTGGGCATCCCCATTCCCAAGGAAGAAATGAGAAATGTTTTTTCTCCTATTTTCATTCCCAACCAAATAAATGTTATATTGTTAGGAAGAGGGACTAAATAGATATTGGTAAAATAGCAAAGATCTCAAAAAGGGTGTGTCATTGTAGACAGGCTCCCAACTTCAGTGAACATTGGCTTCCACTTCCTGATTGCTTATATTGAGCAAGACAGCAGATGAACCACTTCAACATAATTACCACATTCAGTCCTTACAATCTCTAATGAATGAAGAGCTATTATTTTGATTGCAGACATGAAGAATAGATAGGTAACCTATTCAAGGTCATGGATAGAGGTAGAGTCAAGATTTGGATTGGGTTACTTTAAAATCTGTGGAGAAAGACTTGAGAGAGGAACATGCCAGTCAGCAAACAGGAAAAGATAGTCATATGTTGTCTTTATATTGGAATGTATACTAGGAACAGTGACTTTACTCTGACTGGGTCACAGGATACGTGAAGGGCCTTAAATCCATCCATTTGTTTATTTAGTTATCATGTGAGTGTCTATTATATATGTTGTTCTTAGGTGCCGTTGAGTCACTTCTGACTCTTGGTGACCCTGTGTACAATGGAACAAAACACTGCCTGGTCCTGCACAGTCCTCACAGTCACTGCTATGATTGAGCCCATTGTTGGAGTCACTGTGTCAGTCCATCTCCTTGAAGATCTTCCTCTTTTGTGCTGACTCTCCACTTTACCAAGCATGATGTTTCTCCAGTGACTAGTCCCTCCTGATAACACATCCAAAGTACACGACATGAGGTCTCACCATCCTCACCTACAAGAAATATTCTGGCTCTCCTTCCAAAATAGACTTGTTTGTTCCTCTGGCAGTCTGTGGTATATTTAATTTCCTCACCAACACCATAATTCAAAGACATTAGTTCCTCTTTGATCTTATTCATTGTCTAGCTTTTGCATGCACATAAGGCAATTGAAAGTACCATGGCATGGGTCAGGTGCTCCTTAGCCCTCAAAGTGACATCTTTAGTTTTAACACTTTAAAGAGGTCTTTTGTACCAGATTTCCCCAATGCAATATGTCTTTGATTTCTTTACTGCTGCTTCAATAGGCATTGATTGTGGATCTAAGTAAAAAGAAATCTTAACAATTTTTTCTTCATTTATCAGGATGTTGTTTATTGGTCCAGTTGTGAGGATTTTAGTTTTCTTTATGTTGAGGTGTAATCCATAGTGAAGGCTGTAGTCTTTGATTTTCATCAATAGGTACTTCAAGTCATCTTGACTTTCAGCAAGCAAGGTTGTCTCATCTACATGTTATAGGTTGTTAATGAGTCTTCCTCCTATCCCGATGCCACATTTCTTCATTTAGCGCAGCTTCTCAGATTATTTGCTCAGCATGCAGATTGAATAAGTATGGTGAAAGGTTACAACCCTTAAACACATTTCCTTATGTTAAACCATGCAGTATCCCTTTGTTCTGTTTGAACAACTACCTCTTGGTCTATATACAGGTTTCACATGAGCCCAAATAAGGGTTCTGGAATTTCCATTCTTCACAGTGTACCTGTAGTTTGTTATGATTCAAAAAGTCTAATGCCTTTGGATTGTCAATAAAATACATGTAAACATCTTTCTAGTATTCCCTGCTTTTAGCCAAGAGCCATCTGATATCAGCAATGATACTCCTTGTTTCACATCCTCTTCTGAATCTGGCTTGACTTTCTGGCAGTTCCCTGTTGATACACTGCTGCAACCATTTATGAATTATCTTCAGCAAAATTTTACTTGTATGTGATATTAATGATATTCAATAATTTCCATATTCTGTTGGCTCATCACCCTTTGCAATAAGCGCAAATAAGGATCTCTTCTAGCCAGTTGGCCATGTAGCTATCTTTCAAATTTCTTGGCTTAGACAGGTGAGAGCTTCCAGAGTTACATCCATTTGCTGATACATCTGAACTGTTGTATCTTCAGTTTTTGGAGCCTTGTTTTTCGTCAGTGCCTTCAGTGCAGCTTGAATGTCTTCCTTCATTATCATTGGTGCTTCATCATATGCTACATCCTGAAATTGTTGAACACTGGTAGTGTTGAACACTGGTTCTTTTCAACTTGGCTGGGCCTGGTTGAGTGGCTTGCTAGCTGGAGATAGTTATTCCCCATGATGAGACTGTCAATCAGCTCCATGGTGGAATCTGCCACGAGCAGCTGAGTAGCTGCTTTAGGGATATGGTCTGCTTCCCGCATATAAAGAGAAGCTTTGGGATTGGTTTCTAGCCTTACAGCATGCTTGAACCCTGCATGTAACCAAGTCGTCATTCAGCAGCCTGCCATGCTGTGCTGACCTTGGGACTTTCAGTGGACTTGACTCAATGGCCTTCCATGTGGTTTGGTAACATCGGGACTGTGCCTTTTTACTTGTCAACCTTGGGTTTGTCAGTCTCAGCAGCCAGTAGCTGCCTGAATGAAGAAAGCTTCTGGCTTCAGTGGGCTGGGAGCCAGAGGTAGAGCTAAATCCTAAGGTTGAGGGGCTTTCACCCAGCCCCTAGACCTGGCACTTTGAACCTGGTCTTAAAGCCTCCAAACTGTAAGAGAATAAACTGTTTCTTAAAGCTATCTCATTTGTGGTATCTTCTGTTAGAGTGGCCCTAGATAATCAAAACAAACTCCAAACAGTTCTTTCTGATACTGTGACTCTGTGTGTTTCTTCCATATTCTTTTGATGCCTTCTCCGTTATTTACCATCTTGCCCATAGAATCTTTCCGTATTGTAGCTCAAGGGTTAATTTTTTTTCTTCAGTTATTTAAGCTTGAGAAATACTGAGTGTGTTCTTCACTTTTGATTTTCCAATTCCAGGTCTTTACACATTTCATTATAATACTTTATCTTCTTGAGCTGCCCTTTGAAATTTTCTGTTCATGGCTTTGTACTTCATCATTTCATCTATACACTTCAGCTACTTTACACTCAAGAGCAAGTTTCATAGTCTCTTCTGACATCCATTTTGGTTTTTTCTTTCTTTCCTGTCTTTTTAATGACTTTGTTTTCTTCTTATATGATATCCTTGATGTTATCCTACAACTCATATGGTCTATGGTCATCAGTGTTCAGTGCATCAAATCTATTCTTGGGATGGTCTCTAAATTAAAGTATGACATAGTCAGGGTCATATTTTGGCTTTCATGCACTTGTTTTAATTTGTTTCAGCTTTAACTTGCACTTGCATGTGAGCAGTTATTGATGGTTTATTCTGCAGTTAGCTCCTGGCCTTATACTGACTGATCATATTGAGCTTCTCTATCATCTCTTTTCATAGATGTAGTTGATTTGATTCCTGTGTATTCCATCTGATGAGGTCCACATGTATAGTTGCCATTTATGTTGATGCAAAAGGTATTTGTAGTAAATAAGTCATTGGTCTTTAAAATTATGTCATGTTGTCTCCTGTGTTTTAGTCACCAAGACCATATTTTTCATTGACCAATCCTTCTGTTTCCTGCTTTCACATTCTAATTACTAAATAATTATCAATGCATCTTGATTGCATATTTGATCAATTTCTGACAGCAGATGTTGGTAAAAATCTTCCATTTCTTCATCTTTGGCATTGATGTTTGGTAAGTAAATTTATAATAATCGTATTAACTGATCTTCCTTATAAACATATGAATGTTATATCACTGATAGCATCATACTTCATAATAGATCTTGAAATGTTCTTGTGGACAGCAAATACAACACCATTCCTCTTCAATTTGTCATTTCCAGTGTAGAAGACA